AGTAAACTATACTAATAATAGTATTTTAATATAAAGTAAGTATATTTTTAATATAGTTACTCTTTAATAAAATAAGGGATTACTATATACTATAACTTAGGTTACTTAATAAGAAGTATTTACTAGTATATAAAATTAAGAGATTTAAAAGAAAGAATTAGGTAATAGGCTTAAGATAATAATAAAGGCTAATAATAGCTATAATAGCCTATAAAAATATTCTAGCCTTTAAAAGACTATTATTATAACTACTAGTATACCTTTTAAAGGATACCTATTAAGATAAGATTATAGTAACTAAAGATTTCTAATAGTAGCTATAAATAAGAATAAACTAATACCTTATTATCTTTTTAAATAGGTTAATAAATAAGAATAATAATATAAGAATAGGTTATACCTTTTTTTAAAGGTTTAAACTTATATATTAAGGAAAAAGACTAACTCCCTTAAGTAAGGTCTTTAATATAGAAGTAAAAAGTATAAAGTATAGACTTTAAATAGCTATTTAATATACTATATTATAAATAGATAAGATAGTAGTCTATCTAGATAATATAGTAGTAATTATAAGCCTAAGAGAAGGTATTTTAGTATCTTTTTATAGCTTACTAATAGAGTTCTAAAAGTTAGCCTAAATAGCTAATACCTTAGTATAAGTATAATAAGTACTAAGGTACTATAGAATACTAGGTAATAAGATTACTAACTACCTAGCTAAAAAAGGTTTAGCTATAAAACCCTTAATAAGTAACTATACCTTAATATATAACTATATAAAAAGGACCTTTATTAATATAGCTATTAAATAACTTAATACTTAGTAATAAGCTAATTAACCTAATAAGTATTATTTACTTAACCTTTTAATAAAGAATACTTTAAACCTAAAGCTAAAGGTACTAACCTATCTTAAACTCTATTACCTCTTTATAGCCTAGATAGGCTATAGAGATTTTACTCTTTATTATAAATACTTTTACTATATTAATACTATACTTATATATAGCTATAATAAGAGAAAGACCTTAAAGTATATTTTTTACTATAAAAAGATATAAAAAGAGATAATATCTTTATAGTTTAACTAATATAGTTATATTAATAAGACTATTAATATTAGCTAGCTAGAGTATATAAAGCTTATTAAAGATAACTTATTTTTTAGTAAAATATACTTAAGGTAGCCTTACTATATTTTTTCTTAATCTCTCTTACTTCTAGATATATTACTAACCTCTAAGTAGCCTTTTACTAACCCTATAATTAACTAGTAAAAGCCTTATAAGACTTATTAGATAGGCTTATAATCTTTTATTTATTCTATATTTTAGTTTATTTTTATAAGGTCCTTATAGGCGTTATTTACCCTTTTTAGGGATAGTATAACGTAAAACAGTAATATATATATACATTTCCATAGGCAACCGAAGCTGTTGTCACTGTGGGCCTGTGACTTATTAGCTCGCAGGTAGAGGAGATATCATCGCGTCTTGCAGTGCCAGGGGCCTTTTCCACTCTGGGCCTAGCGGCACTCATTTCAAATTTAGTGTCACTAGTTTTTCATGTTTCTCCGTACCAAGGAGAGATGACTAGTGGGATGAGGTTTGGATCGCCCAAGTTTTGGCGCGGGCTGGCCATGGTGTTGGTGGCCTAACACTATGACCGCAAGAAACCCAAGGCATGAAAGTGGACTTATTAGATAAGAAGGGCTACATCCAACCCGTGTATGAAGAAACCTTGAGAGTTTGGTTTGAGCGCTTATGTTTTTATCTCACGGTGTTTATACGCAGTTTCTCTTGGTGCTAACGCTGAATAGGCCGTGACAAGATCGCCCAGGCTTGACACGATGTACACCAGCTTAGATTGAAGCATGAGAAAGTCTACGGAGCCCTTCCATCAAACGTCGAGCATTATTCGCGGCTAGATGGCGCGTGGTTTATGAGTACCAAAGTAGAGATGCTCGGTGAGGCACAGTGCACATCTTCGAAACTGGTAAAGCGCGATCTGTCATCCGCCTTACTAGACAAAATGGTCCTAGGCAGTGTCTTGGCAGACAGCAGTCTCAGGTACCGTAGCATGACGGAGTCCAATGGAGCAATTGCCATGTGAATTTCTAATTCTGATGAACCATTTCATTCACTTTGACTCCCAGATTGGGCTTCTTGAGTCATTATTGGATAACCCGGCAAAGGTGGCACCATAGATTTGGTTTCTTCGAAATCCCCTTGCCCCCCAACTACACGGTTCCCAAGAGCTTAGCCCTTTCAAATCCCCGCACCATCTTCTATGCTGCGCCATAGAGGGCATTTTCCTGACTGCAACGATCTATCAGCAGCACTGAGCGGCCGTCCACGGTACCACTGCGTTGCATTCGCTTTCTACCTCAAAATTCCCTGCCGCCCATCTCTTAACATGCCGAGTAATTTTAGTACTGGTAAGGGTTGAAAGTGCAAGCACCTAGCAGTTGAAGGTGGAGGCTGCAGCCAGGGTTTTGGTGCGCTGAGATAAGCCATCTACCGAATAGGGCATTCTACAGTGTCTGGCAGGATAATTGGACGAACTATTGGGGTCAGACATTGATACATCGGCGGCTCAGGTATTAACAAAGATGCACTGTGGGTTCAGAAGTAAGTTTGAAGACCAACTTCCTGCGGCGGCCGGTTTCTAGCCCAGCATAGAGAGTGCACAGCATTGAAGCTCGCTCCAGCCTGATACTTGGGCTCTGGGCCATGAGCACGGTAAGTCTTGGGGAAGTGTGCTTTGATAGGTCCGGGGGGTAAGGGGTATATTGATAAAACCAGAGAGCGGTAAACGACTACCATCTCCACCTCAGCACTCAAAGGCAAGCGCCGTGAACTGTCTCATTCGACGACAGCTGCAGAATCGGCATAACGCAGTTTGTATTTAGAAGAAAAACTATCATGTCAACTTTTTGCTCTGCTGAAAGTATCCTTATTCGCCTCCTATGGGCTTTTTGAGCTATTACGAAGGCCTGGTCGAGTAAATGGCGGCAAGAGGCTATACTGGTGCAGTTGGCCGAGCAGGTCGGAGGCTACCTCCGCAACCACAGATTTAGTGGTAAGCTTGTTTCTTCGAAATATCCTTAACCCCTTAACCTTTTGGTTTTCCAGAGCTCGCACTTTTTAGGTTACTTAGCAGCCCACACAGGATTTTTACTGCTGCCTACTATAGCTTTACCTTATATCTAGATACAACATACTAAGTAGCTATCTATACTTATACTACTATTTTTGCTACCTCTCTAGTTGCTGTATAGTAGTACTTCTATGCTATCCTAGATGTCTTTATGTTATTTGCGACGCTTTGCCTCTATACCTCTTAGTGCTAAAAGTAAGGTAACTTAAGGTTGGTCGACTGCCGTTGGCTACTGTCGGCAAAAGAGCTTTAGACTGCGGCACTTTGCTGATGGTCGCTAGCACCACCAAGCTGTGGCTTTGTACATCTGCCTCTTGCTGAGACCAAAGGATCTTCAGCGTAGTAACTATGCGATCAAAACTGATGGCCGGCCTAGTAGCGGGGCTGCAGGCACATCCGATCTTCCAGAGGCAGTGTCTCAAAGAACCCACCTTCAACTACAATTCATGCGATCGCTGTCATCGTGCCTATGTCTGATCGAATTTATTCCCGCGTAGCGCACTGATGATCTCCCCCATACCCTGATATGCGGCTACGATGGGAGAGAACTCTTGCAATAACAGTAGTCATGTGGTTGCTTTACATTGGAAATTCGTGCCTACACTGAACCTCACTCGTGTGAACCAGGTGTTCTTACGTCATGGAGCAAAGGCAACTATATCAAACCGCGTCAAGTCTCGCAAAATGGAAGAGCGATTTTGGACTCCGTAAGCTGCGTAGCTTGATTGATCTCGCTGTGCGAGGGTGCACCACCTACTTGTTGCCTTCAGGCAAATGCGTAGACTTATAGGGAACTAGCCGTCTAATTCAATCTAGCTACAGCTTAAGGTTATTATCTAAACTTAGCGTTTATATAAGAAGGATGCTTAAAAGAAAGCCTAATATATCTATTTTTAACTTCTATTTAATATACTATACTTTAGGTTATCTTATAATAATATATAGGTTTATTATAAGCATCTTTAGGCTAGGTAGCTAGTATTTAGGGCTAGAGCTACTAAAGTTAGTATTAATAGGGGTCCCTACTACTAAAGCTACCTATATAGAGGTATCCTCTTATTATAGCTACTACTAGTCTATAGTAATTTTAGTAGGAGGATATTTCTGGATAAGTGAATTCTTTAAAATACCCTTACCCCCCTAGCCCTAGAAATACCACTATTCCTAGGAGCTTCCCTTTCTTAGATACTTTGCTCGATGTACCTTGCAGCACCACCACTTTGTCCTTTGGGATAAGCAGCCCGTAAATAATCTCTGCCACCTTGCCGACAACATGATGCCACCTTGCATATAAGTGCAGCCTAAAAAAGACAAAGTTCCCATCTCTCCTACCTCTAGCAGCTATAGAATTGGTGGTAAGCTTGTTTCTTCGAAATACTCTTAAACCCCTAAGCCCTTAGTTCTCTAGAGCTCGCTCTTTTCAGGTCGCTCTGCAGCCCGCATAGGATTTTCACTGCTACCTAGCTTTACGTTATATCTAGATATAGCGTACTGATTGGCTGTCCATGCTTTGTACCTCTGCCCACTATTTTGCCGCCTCTCGGGTTTCTGTGCACTGGCACCCCTATGCTTTCTTTGATGTCTCCGTGTTGCTTGCGTTGCTTTGCCTCTGTAATTTAGTACTAGAAATCGGGTAGCTGGAGGTTGATCGGCTGCCGTCGGCAAAGGGGCTTTAGCCTCCGGCAATCTGCCGATGGCACCCGGTCACCAAACCGTGGCCCTGCACATCTGCCCCTCGCTGGGAATTAATGTTCTTCAGCGTATGCGATAAAAACTGATGACCGGCCGGTGGCGGGGCTGCATGCACATCCGATGTCCCCGAGGCATTGTCTTAAAGAAGCCTACCCTCGGATACAAATCTCAAAATATGGCGTACCGCCTTTGTTAGGAGCAGACGTTCGGTACTCTCTGATGCACTGCAGGTCGGCAAGCAGACTGGCAAGAGATTGCACGGGGTAGTTGTTGCCGCACGCACTGTCCGCCAATGTCGTGTGATCCGGCTCATCGGACGGCTTGATCCGAGAGGGTACATCCAAGTTTGCGTCGCTGCCGTTGTCAGACTGGCCGCCATTCGGCGCTATGCGCTTCTTGCTGGTTTGCCAGGCGAGCCCGCCGCTCCCACGGGAGATTTCCAGCTCTAGCGAGACGGAATCCTTGGATGGGCGTTCTACGTTGACGGTGGTATCACCTTCATGAGACTGGCCTGGCCTCACGTTCGCATCATCGTATTGTCGGCTTTTGGTGTTGTTGCCGTTGTCATTGCCATCGTTGTCATCGTTGCAATCTTTGCCATCGTTGCAATCACTGCTGTTGCTGTCGCTGTCGTAGCCGTTTACAAGTCGGCAGGCCTTCATTAGGCGCTCCTGTGGAGGAGGAGCTACACTTGACTGGCCGGTGCCATCGGTGATTGCCATGGTTGCGGGGTGCTCTTCTTGGATTGCTGGTATTAAAACTTGGAACAATTCTGGCGACTGGATTCTATCTCAACAGCCGCACGCCTCTTTAGTCGGTAGACTGGGTGCTACCGCGCTCTACGCAAGCGAATCCCTGGAAACTCCTACAGCGTCGCTTTTGATGCAGACATTCTCACGTGACACGTGGGTACCATACATGATTTTGAAGATAATGGACCATAAAGGTGTCGCAGAGCTTCAAGCTCGCAAATTGGACAAGCGGCACGGTTTTCGGGACTCCCTGAACTTGGGTACGGTCTCAGAGAATGTTGTGTGAGCTGCCGTGGCACATCTGAACCATACTGCTACTGGACAAAAGCTTGCCCCACGATGACAGTTGCAGCAGTGTGTCGGAGAACTAGCGGTTCCAGGTGAACAATCTGACTACTGACTGCGCCCGCCGAGAATTTTTGCACATAGCAGTCCTCATATAAACCTTACTACCTGATGCGCCTCACGACGTTGGAATGGGTTCTTACGCTCTTCATGATGGTATTACAGCGCTTATATGTGTGCCTGCGCTGGACTAGTGGGGACACTAAGGAGGGCTTCCACTGGTCCTGCTAGCCCATAAGCAATCATCCTCTTATGTTTGTTTCCTTCTCTGGTTTGCCCTGGCTAGCACGGATTCTCGCGGTGCTCGTATTAACTGGCTAGCTTGGAGGCGTTTCCCTAAATATTTAGCATCCTATCTACAGCGGCTAAAGCAGCGCCTAGTATTAGCAATATAATTATTATATATAATTTTACTATAAAGTATAAATATAGTATTAGTAGTCTAGTTATTACTTAATAGGCTAGTAGCTAATACTAATTAGATTATTACCTTAACTACTTATATATTTAGTTTCTATTTTAGTCTATTAAAAGATAACTTTCTAATAATATAGAATAATATATTACCTTTTTATATATTAATCTATTCTATTATCTTATCTCTATATATCTTCTATATTAAGTAGTAAAATAGAAAGTAGTTAATAGTTTTACTTTTAAGTTTATATATATATTAACTTAATAGTATTACTAGTATCTAGTAAAGATACCTATTTAGCCTAATAATACTAGTCTTAAGCTAGGTTAGTACTATCTATTTATTTTATAATTAGTTATTATATAGTATCTTTATATGTTTACCTAGTAAAGCTATATTAATCTTTTTAAGTATTTCCCTTTATTCTCTAGAAGGCGTCTTTCGGCCTTGAGCTTTCTTTTCTCGATGTTGAAGGTCGTGGAGACTATCCCTGGGAATTGTCGCTTGGGTCGCATTCCCTCTCGAGTCGCCTCTTTCGCTTTTCTTTTCACCATGTCAAGGTGTTCATCGGCAATTTCGTCCGGGATTCTATACCAATGCCCTTGTCTCTGATAGCTCTTCCAGTGGACCTTGTATCCGGCAGAGCGCATAACAGCGGCAGCGGTCTCGCCCAGACGGACGCGGACCTTTTCATCTGCGTCGCCGTACCCTAGAAAGACAGGAGTGCGATATGCAGTTCTTTCAGCAGACGGTTCGTTCTCCGCATCTAGGCATAAAAGCTCCCGCTCAAAAACCTGCGCTTCGACCGACTTCCGTTTGGTCTGCCTTTGGCCATTGCTGGAGAAAGGGTCCAAGTCTCCCAGGTCGTCATCCGCAAGTACCATATTAATACCACGTTCATAAGTGAAGTACCCGCTCATGCCGATAAAGCCGCCGATGTCCTCCGTTCGCATCGATCTGGCGTTGGACCAAGTCCGCGTTGAAGAAAAGGTATGCGAAGGGAGACAACAGATTTTCATTGTGCCATGACAATGTCGTTTCAGCTATGCAGCCCTACCAATCACGCTGGTTTGGCACCCCACCCACTGTGAAGCGCCACAGCCACGGCAGTGCATCTCTAAGCACCTGGAAATAATATAAAATCCGCACCTATCTAGATATTTATGTTTCTAGTATTCAAATACTTCTACTACTCTAAAGCATCTCAGCCTGGATAATTTCTGTCTCTAACTTCGTTCCTCAAGGCTCTTTCTGGGCAACCCGCCTGCGGGTTGCGTCTCCTGTGCCGACAAGGGATGGTTGTGGCTGGTGTAACACCTAGAAAGTCACATGATAATCCGGCACGTGACCATCTTCATAACCCCGTTTTGGGCATGATTTTGACATCTCGTGCCCCTCAATCAACGCCCGGCGCAAACTCTGAGATATATTCCCTACCAGATGCGGGTAGCACCCCTTTAGACTTCTCCTCTACCCCTGGACTATCTTGGGAAAAAGTCATAGCAGGGCCAAAGTCATCTCAATGTCGCAAGCAGTTGATGCAGTCCAGCTCACTGAGACGGAGAGGCAGCAGTTGGAGAGCCTATTACGTCACATTGAGCAACATCCAACAGGGTGGATACCTAAAGCTGATTATGAAGGCATGGACGAGTACTCCCACAGAGATGTCCGCCACCTCATAGAGCCGCTCATTGGAAAAGTATGCCCATCTATAACAGGAAACCTCATACCAGGAACTGACAATACGTGAAGGGCATGAAGCACATACTTATACGAATCACTGGCGACCCTAGAAACTACAAATACTTCTTTGACGTTGGTGACCTAATACCAATCGCGGGCGAGAGTTACTCTATTTCCGATGGGAAGGAATCTATTGGACTTGCGCCGGGTGAGAGAGGCCATCTTTCAAGGAAAATCACAGTGCAAGTTGCAGACGGGAGTATTCTGTATTTGCTCTGGTTGGTAAAGGTGAAATAAAACCTCGTCCTAGGCAGAAGCTACTGGTATTGTTTGGTGACGATCGTTCGATCCCGTGTTCATGTTGCCAAATAACGCGACGGGGTGGGAGATGGTAGACTGGTGTTTGGGGGTACGCTTGTAATTGGCCTGCTGGGGGGAATAGGTTGTATGAAATCTGTGGCCGAACAACTGGAATTGATATTGCGTTGTGCGCCCACGCTGTCAAACGAATGGGGCTGAAAATGAAATTTGGTAGGGTTAATATGAACAGCGGCGGCGAAGGGCTCGACATACTGGCCGTTACAGTTATCAGTGGGTATGTTGTCACCAAATGACTGGGATCGGGTGAAGAATCCAGCCGGGTTATCAGGCGGC